AGACAGGATTTCACCAGGTTGGCCAGGCTGGTCTCGAACTCCTGACCTCAGGTGATCCACCCACCTTCGCCTCCCAAAGTGCTGGGATTACGGGCATGAGCCACAGCACCCAGCCCTGCTAAGAAATTTCTAACAGGGATTGCAGTTTGTATTTATAGTGTATCCCCAAGTTCCTCACATAGGGTGACAAACCCTGTAGGCCGTGAGACACTGGCACAAAACAGAGGTCAGGACTACTCACCAATCTGCCTACTGCTGGCCCAGAGGTGACCTGGCCCATTTGCTCCGACGGGCCTAAGACTCTGTGGGATGGCTCTGGGGAGGTGACCCTCCCTTCTCTGGATTCTGGTGGACCAGTGGCCTCTCGGTGGGAGCCTTCGAGACCAGCTTCCCTACTAGCACTATCGTGTGCCTCCTCTCCAGGCAGTTCCTGAGGACTGAAATATGGGTAAGTCATATCTGTAGCACCGATCTGCCCTTCGGCAGATGAAGCTTCCGAATAGTAATATTCCTCTTCGCTCTCAGCATCTCCATAGGACACAGTCTCCTCTTCCACTGTGGTTTCCCCTTCCACGGCAGCTTCCCCTTCTGTCTCGACCTCCCCTTCTTCAATTTCAGCTTCCGCTTGGGTTGTGACTTCTTCAGGATGCTCTGTGCTACCGACAGCTTCTTCACTTTTCTGGCCATCATCCTTCTCTGGTGGTGACGCCTGTAAAGGTGTGGCAGGAAAAAAAATCAGGAAACAAAGTATAAAGGACCTTGTGAGGTTTTATTCTTTATAGTGAAATTATACTAATGGGAAAACTGCATTTATACCCTTCTCAGCATCTGTAAGAGATCATGTTTCACTTTGGGAGGCCAAGGCAGGCAGATCATGAGGTCACGAGATCGAGACCATCCTGACCAACATGGTGAAACCCTATCTCTACTTAAAATACAAAAATTAGCTGGGTGTGGTAGTGCGCACCTGTGATCCCAGCTACTCGGGAGGCTGGGGCCAGGAGAATTGCTTGAACTCAGAAGGCGGAGGTTGCAGTGAGCCGAGATTGTGCCATTGCACTTTAGCCTAGAGACAGAGTGAGACTCTGTCTCAAAAAAAAAAAAAAAAAAAAAATCATGTTTCATGCTTCAGTTTATCTGTTCTTTCTTTTCTAATTTTTTTTTTTTGTGACAGGGTCTCACTCTGTTGCCCAGGCTGGAGTGCAGTGGCATGATCTCGGCTCACTGCAACTTCCATCTCCTGGGTTCAAGCGATTCTCCTGCTTCAGCCTCCCGAGTAGCTGGGACTACAGGTGTGTACCACCATGCCCTGTTAATTTTCCCATTTTTAGTAGGGATGGGGTTTCATCATGTTGACCAGGCTGGTCTTGAACTCCTGGCCTCAAGCGATCCATCCGCCTCAGCCTCCCAAAGTGCTGGGACTACAGGCATGAGCCACCATGCCCGGCCCTCTCTGCTTTTCATAATCATTTTTGCATCCTTCGTTACAGGAAATGAGTTCTGAAAAACTCAGGGCAACCCAAAGTTGGACATTCTTTGCATTCCTAACTAATCACTGACACTTTAGAATGGGGTAGGAAGAAAATGAGTCTCTCTTCAACTGAACTGAGTTTGTTCCGGTGCAAGATAATGTCATCACACAATATACTTGATCAAGTCCAAATTCTCTTTATTTATTTATTTATTTTTAATTTAATTAATTAATTAATTAATTTATTTATTTATTTTTGAGACGGAGTCTCGCTCTTTCGCGCAGGCTGGAGTGCAGTGGCCGGATCTCAGCTCACTGCAAGCTCCGCCTCCCGGGTTGACGCCATTCTCCCGCCTCAGCCTCCGAGTAGCTGGGACTACAGGCGCCCGCCACCTCGCCCGGCTAGTTTTTTGTATTTTTTAGTAGAGACGGGGTTTCACCGTGTTAGCCAGGATGGTCTCGATCTCCTGACCTCATGATCCGCCCTTCTCGGCCTCCCAAAGTGCTGGGATTACAGGCTTGAGCCACCGCGCCCGTATTTATTTATTTTTTGAGATGGAATCTCGCTCTGTTGCCAGGCTGAGTGTAGTGGCACAATCTTGGCTCACTTCAACCTCCATCTCCCAGGTTCAAGCCATTCTCCTGCCTCAGCCTCCTGAGTAGCCGGGACTACAGGCATGAACCACCACTCCCGGCTAATTTTTATATTTTTAGTAGAGACAGGTTTCACCATGTTGGCCAGGATAGCCTCGATCTTTTGACCTCGTGATCTGTCTGTCTCGGCCTCCCCAAGTGCTGGAATTACAGGCGTCAGTCACTGCGCCTGGTCTGTTTATTTTTGAGACAGAGTTTCACTCTTGTCACCCAGGCTGGAGTGCAATGGCATGATCTTGGCTCACTGCAACCTCTGCCTCCCGAGTTCAAGCCATTCTCCTGCCTCAGCCTCATGAGTAGCTGGGAATACAGGCACACACCACTACGCCTAGCTAATTTTTATATTTTTAGTAGAGATGGGGTTTTGCCATGTTGGCCAGGCTCGTCTCAAACTCCTAACCTCATGTGATCCACCTGCCTTGGCCTCCCAAAGTGTTGGGATTATAGGCGTGAGCCACCACGCCCGGCCTCTGATTCTCTTTAATTCCTAGTAAATATAAGCCCCGAATAACTTCCCATAGGGAATTTTACCATGTGGCTTTCATTATTCTCTTCCTTCTCTTCCTCAGAAGCCAATCCATCTTCCGGATGAGACCTGGTTTTAGAGAAATAATTGAACAGTTTCAAGCAACAGTTTTCTTTTTCTTGGCCCTTATCACCTCCTGAATTCTGCATATCTGTTTATTTACTTGTTACTTCTCTGCTCCCCCACCCCCAGGCTGTTGTCAGGACTTTGTACTGTTTGTCAGGAACCATAGCACTATATCATGCCTGTCAGGTGGCAGAGGTGCCACAAAAGCAAAGCTCCATGAATGAATGAAAAATATAATTATTAAAACATTGAAGGAACAGCAGGATTAGATCACCCCAGAAAAGTCACCTCAAATATAACTCGTGTCTGGGACAAAACTGGGGAAAAGAAATACAAAGTAGAGAAAATAGTGCGATCAGAGTAAATGTTCTAGGGACTCTGAGTTTCTCCACGATTTATGTAGCACAAGAATGCCGTGGTATATATATATATAGACACACACACGTATATATATACACACATATATATACACACACACGTATATATATACACACATATATATTGCTTTTTTTAAAAAATTAAAGATTCAAGCTATTTTTATCTGTCAAAGGAATATAGATATGTTCGAGACAGACAGTGACATTTCCCTGTGATCTTCCCTTTCCTTCCCAAGATAATCACTGGTAACATTTAGGACTACATTCTTTCAACATTTTTCTATGCTTTAAACACACACACACACCCTGAATTAGAGATCATAGTATACCTATCCTTTTACATTTATGCCTATCGTTTTATTAATAATACCTTTAGTCTTTCCATGTCAGTACATACAGACCCACCTTAAAAAAAAGAAACAATACCGATATGTCTAAGGTAAAAAGGCCAAAATCTTTCCAATCGTTTCTGTCCTTTCATACAGAGCCTAAGCGAGCAGAGGCCGGTGGCAGGGATCTTCACCCAGCCGCCCTCCCTGTGCGCGCTCAGTGCTTCCACCCAGGCCCCAGGACGGTGACCGCGGTCCCCTAACTGCAGGGACCCCTCCCATCGCGGGTCACCCCCAAGCCTGTGAGAGGGGATCTGTCCTTGCAGGAGGGAGGCACGGGGCCGGGCTGGTCTCCGGCCACAGCGAGTGGCCCCGGCGCAAGGTCAGGGGCGGCATCCCACAGACCCGCGCCCTGCAGAGCCCTCTGCTCTTAGGAGGACTGCGCGCAGGGACCGCCACGCAGAGTGGTTGCCATGGTGACTGCAGAGCGAGCGGTCCCGGGTTTTAGAGGGAGTCGCGCGTTTGGAGTAGGGGAAAGAGGGAGGCTGAGAGAGGACAAAGGGACAGGAGGCAAGAAGTGAGAAGGGTTGGCGGGGGGCGGGGGAGCCTGAACGCAGTGGATGGGCAAGGCCAGCAAAATGGCAAGAGAAGGGATACAGGCGAGAGGAAGTGGGAGTGGAGGCGAAGGGGCGAGGCAGGGGCCGACGCGGGGGCCACCTGGCGCGGTGACCGGAGAGCGCGGCCTGGCGGCTCCAAGACCCGCTGCCCCTCGGCCCGGCTTACCCGCCAGCCGCGCCGCCCGGTTCCGCCATCTCCCGTTGCTAGGTGACGCCGTCAACATCCGGCGGGGCCGGGACCACGCGCGCTGCGAGGGCGGGGGCCGCCGGGGGCGGCGCGGCCTTTGTGCCATCTCCACGCACGCAAAGACCCTCGCCATCTCGATGTGTCATCCCTTAGACTGTAATTAGAGCCCGACCATGCATTTCCTTTATCGCTCTCTGCGCTCAGGTGGCCCCTCGACCGCCCTCAGTTTCTGTAAAGCGACAGCGGCGTCGGCTTGTGCCCAGCGGGCGGCTCGAGGTCCCGGAGGGACCTGCCGGGCTCCTGGGGACCCCGGACTGCTAAGCGCCCGGGAGTGGCAGGCGGGCTGGGGGCACCGGAGGCAGGGGACCCCTCGCATGGCGCGCGCTTTTCCATCTCCGGCCCTAGGGGGCTCCGGCGCCCCTCTCCAGGGATCCTACGGAGACTCCTTGGGAAGCAGGGACGTCCGGGGGGCTTCCGGAGCGTGTCTTCCCTTCCTAGCCCCAAATAGGAGAAATCTCCCTGCAGAGGGCGGCAGCGGAGGGCCTGCGCGCACGCGGAGCATCCGAGGGGCCCTGCCTTTCCCTCGGGGACGCGGGGCTCGGGTCGGGGCACAGTCCCCGGGGCCGGGGCGCGGCGAGGCCTGAGGGAGGGCCAGCAGGGTACGAGAGGCTTGGGCCCAGGGCTGGACTAGAAGGCAGGCGGGGAGCCCGGCTTGGGCAGGCAGGGGCCGGGCCGGGGGCGGGCCTGGGGGCGGGCCAGGGGCCGGGCCTCCCCGCGCGTCCCCGCCCCGCCGTGCCTCACTGGCGGCGGCAGCGGCGGAGGCGACGGTGGCGGCTCTCCGAGCCGGCGCGAATCCGGCCCCCGCAGCGGGACCCGGGTGGGTATCGGGGCCCGGACTGGGCCGCAGGGGCGGGGTCCGAGGGGTCCACCGCGCACCGAGCAGCGCCCCCTCGGCGGAGCTGGGGCGGGGACGCGCGGGGCGCGCGGGGCGCGTGGGCCTGCAGCCGCCGGACCGGGGAGGGGCCGGGGTCCGGTCGCTGTCCTCGGGGTGCAGGGCGCCAGCAGGAGCGGGAGCGTTGCGGGAGGACCCGGATCACGCAGGGACACCCGGGGACATTCCCCCGCGGCGAGTGAGGGCTCCCCGGCCTCGGAATGGGCCTAATTCGGGGAGACTGGTCCCCGCCTTTCTGGAGCCGTGGACCGGGGAACTTGCGGTCTTTGTCTGACTGGATCGGCGGAGCAGACGAATGGGAACTTGTGGGGTGCCGGCGCGCGCCCACACAGCCCCCAAAGTGTGCGTCCCCCCAGCGGCGCGCGCTCAGCTTTCCTGGCCTGTCGGGCTTGGTGGTCTGGGTTGTTTAAGATCCGCGTGTCGGGATACTCACTTCCGTTCCGCCTGGGCTCCCTTGTTCTTTCCTTTGGGGGCGGGGGGGGGAAAGGAAAGAAAAGAAAAGAAAAAGAAAGAACGAAAGGAAGGAAAAAAAACCCGGAAAAACTGAAGATTTCTAAACATAACCTAGGGGATCCTGCCGGAAGCCGCTGAATCCTGAAATCCTGTGATTCCCACACTCAGAAGCTGGTGTCGTATGTTGGCCACAAAGTAGTTCAGATTCGATTCAGAAATAGAAAATGAATAGAAAAGACATAACAAAAGTTAGTCTCGCCTTCCTTATGGTAAAGTTTGTTTTACTGTCTGGGTCAAGTTCAAATGAGAAGCTGGGCTGATTGGCCAGCCTCTGCGACTTGATCCTAAAGATCTACTTTCTTTTCTACCAGAAGGCACCTAATTCTTTTATCTGGAATAAAAAGGTCTTAAAGATGCTCACGTGAGGCAGCATATTGCCAGCGGGTGGGCGCAAAGACTGGCGCCTGGGAATTCCATTCCAAATCTGTTACCGATTGATCAGAGCACTTTTTCAAATCTGTACCTCAGTTTTAGAAAATTCTCATTAGAAACGTTAACAGTAAAATTGGTGAATACTAAACACTTTTAAGAACCATGAAAGCTTTTGCAAATAAAGAATAAAGTGAGGAGTAACTTTGAGTATTAACTACAAAGTTCATTAATGGCTGTTGTTTGTATCCTGAGTATGTTTATTGTGCGCATCTTTTTGGTAAGTGGCATGTTTATAGTGAGACTATGGCTAAAGAAAGTTTTCATGGCTGGGCGCGGTGGCTCACGCCTGTAATCCCAGCACTTTGGGAGGACAAGGTGGGCGGATCACCTGAGGTCAGGAGTTCGAGACCAGCCTGGCCAGCATGGTGAAACCCCCATCTCTACTAAAAATACAAAAATTAGCCTGGTGTGGTGGCGTGAGCCTGTAATCCCAGCTACTCGGGAGGCTGAGACACTTGAATTTGGGAGGCAAAGGTTGCAATGAACCAAGATGTGCCACCGCACCCCAGTGCAGGTGATAGAGCAAGACTCCATCTCAATTTAATCCTCTAGCAATTTTGGTGATTGTGTTAGTAGTTCCTAGTTATCATGTATGAATTCACTTAACCCACAAAACAAGCTCATGAAGTCAGGACTGCAGTTATGCCCATTTACAGATGGGAATGCTGACGCTTAGAGAAGTAACTTCCTCAGGTTCATGCAGTTAGGAGTGACAGAACTAGGCCTTAGGCCCAAGACGTCCCAGCTCCAGAAAACCGTTGTACCACTTTGCCCTCTGTCTTACAGAGGGTGCCTACCATTCATATACAAACGTTCTGCCAAGTGGTTCATAACAGTGCAAGGAGGTGGGACTAATCCCATGTTACCACTAACTGCCAATCTCGGTTCACTTCAGTCTGGAAAGCATCCCCCAGGCTTCAGGATAAAGGCACTGAATTTGCGGAACCTACCCACTGGTCTCTGCCCACAGTTTTGGGTAGTAAGGTGCAGTGGTTAAGAACATGGCGTAGAAAGATGAACTGCTGGCTTCAAATACAAATCCTGGACTGGGCATGGTAGCTCACACCTATAATCCCTGTATTTTGGGAGAATCACTTGAGCCCAGAAGTTCAAGACCACGTTGGGCAACCTAGAGAGACCCTATCTCTACAAAAAATGAACAAATTAGCTGGGCATGCTGGCGGGCACCTATGGTCCCAGCTACTTGGGCGGCTGGGGTGGGAGGATAGCTTGAGCCCGGGAGGTCAAGGCTGTAGTGAGCCATGATCAGCCTCTGCATTCTAGCCTGGGTGACAGAGTGAGACTCCGCTGAAAAAAAAAACTAAAAAACTCAATCAAACCACAACAAAAAACAAAACAACAACAACAAAACCCCCAACTCCTCTGGCACTTAGTTAATTCTTCAGTGCCTTAACTTCCCCATCTATACTCTACCTACTTCAAAGACTTGGTGCAAGGATTATGGAAAGCATATTGAATTCCTGACACATAAATTACCATTTAGGATGTGGTAAGTAATTTCAAATGGTAACATTTTAACATCGTTATTAATGACCATTATTTGGATTTTCCATATTTAACATTTAACACAAAACATTTCGTTTTTGTGCTTTGACTCCTCACTCCACTTCGTGTCGTCCATCAGGTGGAAAGCGATTCCAGGCAGATGTAGGATCCACTATTTTGTGCATATGTGTACTCTTATCTTTATAACTTGGCGGGGGGCTGGGTCCCTGCGGAATGCTGTGGGGAGCAGAGCTGATCAGGTTGCCTGGCAACACCCCACCTCCTGTGAACATTTTAGCTCCCCTTCTTCCCTGGCTGAGGGACCGTGATTTTTGTCACAGGCCTAAATTCTCTTGTAAGATTAGCTACTTCGTTTCATCCAGCGTTAAGCTGCGGGGCGGGTGGCTCTGGGATGTGAAGGTGACGGCGGCCGAGGATGATTTTATGATCGAATTGTACATCATTTGTATTGCGTTTGAATTATATTGCTGTTAATGAGGCCAGTGCACAGGAGAGAGCGCAACTTTGCACCCTTCCCAAAAATACGGGGCAATGATGTTGGAAACCTTTTTCCATTCACATCGGCGGCGGTGTTTTTTATCCTGTTGGCTTTATTGGCGTTTTTATCCTAGCTGTCCTTTGAGCACCTGGTCTTGCATCTCTAATAAATCTGCTTTTATGAGCTGTCTGGTGGCATCTGATTTGAAATACGTTCTTTACTCTGTCTTCGGAACTTACATAACCATCCTCAAAGGATGAGAGAAATTGGGCCACTGTAAGACTGAGTTTGATTTCTGCCCGTGGTGGCTTGTGTCACATGAATAACAGAAAGAAAAGAGAGAGAATCCAAATCCACTGTCCAGTTGGGACGGGCTGCCCTTCTGCTGCTGAGCCTTGGGTGGTGAGTTTGTGCAGGTGTTAGAGGGTAATACATGTGTCTGCTTCTCTGAATGGGCTGCAGACGCTGAGATGTGGCAGTGTTTTCTCCGTGGTCTTTCTGGATTGGTCACTATGAAGCCACCGTACTGCGGGTGCCAAGCCCGCGTCCATGCTGGCTGGCACACTTCAGTTGTGGGCTGCTTTTTGCATGTTGAGTGAGAGCCTGAATTCAGTGGTCTGATATAGTTCATCTTTAACCTTCAGGAAGTGGGAGAAAGGGCGTACTTGACAGATGTCATTTGACAGCCTTTTGAGTTTTATTTTCTGTAACTTAAATGCTTTCTTGATCAGTTGTGATGCTTTTGGGTGTTTTTAATATGTCCCCCCAATTGCAGTTTCGTTTGGCGAGGCATTCGCTACTGCTTCACTCACAGATGCTGAGAAGCTTTAGGCTCCATGTTTATAGGCACAGCATAGAAGTAGGGGGTACCTGAGCCAGACTCTGGGCGGTTTTTGATTTCCCGGCTGGGTCTGCATCTTCCCTTACCCTTTGGATTTAGTCTTTCCTCGGTCCCAGATCCAGGCTCACCTCTGAGTTGAGTTTCTTCTCCCAGGCCTGACTTCCTTGACTCTTTGCGGGGGAAATGGGATTTTAAAATTTACTATCGAGGGTGTATAAATGGCAGATGGTCCCTCCTTGGAGGCAGAGGCTTTGGGGTCTTCCAGGGAGTAGGTGCTAATCAGGGTGACCGCTGGACAGTTGCAGAAGGAGAGTCACAGCCACACAGGCCACCAGGTTTTCCCTCACCACCGTTTTGGTGATGGTCCTGCCCCGTTACAGCCTCTCAAGGGGCCTCTTGCCCTGTGGTCTAAGATCCCAGCACTGCAGTGAATGCCCTAAGCCCTAGTTCCTTCATTTTAAGTACGACTTGATGTCCTGTTCTCACTTCTGCATAGAGGCTCATCTTTGGGCCCCGGCCTTTCCGGGTGTATCCTGAATGTGGCTTCTGTGTGCAGCCAGTATCTTTATTTTCTGAGTTAATCCTGTAACTTGAAGTTCAGCACAGCTGCGAGAAGAAGTCGTAGCGGCCCCGCACGGGATTATCCTCGTGATGAGACTGAAGGAGCTACCTTCCCCAGCCCTGTTGCGCAGGGACTGGGTCCTGATCCTGGCTGCCTACAGGATTTCATGTCGCCCTTTGACCTGCAAAGCCAGGGGTTCCCAGAAAGATGGGTAGGGCGCCTGCCTGGCTCTGGGCAGGTGGAGGGAGCTGGGGCCTCCTCCAAGGCATGCCAGCAGCAGATGTTTTGCAGTGGGGGGAGCGCGATCCTTGTTTGCGTGTGTCTGGCTCATGTTTAATAAGGTGTCGCCGTTTCCCTGTTCTTTGTTGCTTGGGCTTTGAAGGCAAAGCAGATGAACCAGTTTCTGCCAGCCATGTGGCAGGTGACCAGGTTCAGTGCATTTTGCTCCTGAGCAGTCTGGCAGTGACACAGCCACGGGAATAATCAGCTGTGGGCTGTGTCTTGTGGCCCCCACACCCTACCTGCCTCTGCCTCTGCCCCTGCCTGTCACTAGCGGGCATGGGCTGCGTCCC